ACCACTATCACACACCGTTAATAACCATTCCCACACATATTCCCCGGGTTTCTGCTTCTACATATTAGAAAAGTCAAGCAGTTCTTCTGCAGTGTAGCATACTTTCTCCTGGGTCATACTTTGTACTTCACCTTTTGGGGCTCACTGGGACTTAAGTCTAGTTATAGGTCTATTAACAAAAATGGGTAGTGAAGATGTGTTCTAAGAACATCCAGCAATGTCTTATAAGGCATCTGCCTCAAGGGATGCCCCAGGCAATGACTCAGCTGCTTCCCCAGGAGATGACTCAGACAAAGGCTCTTCAGACACAGCTGGATTAATCTAGTCAGATGGCAGTGGAGAGGCTAATGGTTTTACTAGGTAGGGTGGCTTAACAGACAAAGATAGAGTAATCTTTTCAGATGGGGGTGAGAGGGCTGGTTCTGTTGGCAAGAGTGATTCAATGGAATTTAGGGGCTCAGTGTCCCCAGCTTCCTGGTTATCTGCCCGTATATCCCCATCCCAAGTTTTAGGATCCCATGTCTTCCCTATCAATGCCCTCACTTTAACTTCCGACACGTTTAAGTTTGGGAATTCAATTGCTGTTATAATTTAACCACTCTTACAATAAGATTCTGGGTTTGCTTTTCACCATTATCAGCTCTGTTACTACAAGAAATAAGACTTGCTTTCAGGGCACAAGTGGCAACTTTGAGGTCATTTGTGCAGCACTTCAGCTGTGACTCTGAAGGTCTGAGCTCATCTCTTTCTTTCACCACTTTGTCTAGCAAAAGTAGGACCAATCAACCAGCTTCCTTATACTTCTCATTCTGACAAAATTGTAGAAAGGTATCAAACATGTGATCACCCAGAGCCTTGCCACTCACCAGTACTTGATCTATTGGTAATGATATTTTGCATATTTCTATTGTCACATCATCCCATGGATTAGCAGTGCCCTCTTTACTACTAGAAGCAGAGTCATCAACATCTTTAAGACTAACCAGGCTTGAGAACCAATTTAGAAAACTCATCCTTACAGTTTTCTTTCTCTAGAATCACTTTCAGTACCAAATGTCTTAGGCTGGGTTCTCTAGAGAAGCAAAACGAGCAAAACATATATATATATGAGAGAGGGATTTATCTCACAGATATGCTCACATGGTTGTAGAGGCTGGAAAGCCCTAAGTCCATGGGTGAGGCATCAGGCCGGAGGCCTCTCCTGACTCACATAGCTGCAGTGGCTGACAAATGCAAGCTTGGCAGATCAGACAGCAGGCCACCAGCTCACAAGCTACAGAGGCCAATGAATCCCAAGATCAGAAGATAAGGTGGCAGGCTGCAGAGGTTGATGAAGCCCAACATCAGCAGGTAAGCTGCTAGCTCAAATCCCAAGAACCGGAGATCAGATGATAACAAGCTAGATGCAGATCCAGAGTGAGAGCCTTGCTGGAAATCCATTTATATACTGCAGGCAGGACACACCCCCAAGGAAACTCCCTTTCAACTGATTGGCTCCTTATAGCAGATCTCATAATGGAATTGATTACTTCATTATATCACTGCCAGCTACATCATAACTGCCAAACTACTGAGAATCATGGCCCAGCCAAGTTGACACACAAACTTAACTATCACAACCTGACCAGTAGGACTGTGGTGGTGATTATAAACTAATGCATGTAAAACTCAGCCCCTGTATAGTCCATATAAAGTATTTAATAAGCATTAGTTATTTATATTATTATTGTTGCTTTCATTATTGGTAGAGTTCTTAGTGTAGTTGTGTCATTTTTTCTATACTCTGAAACATCTTAAAACCCATCTCTACTTATTATAATCTAACTAAAGCCAAGTTCTCAGCTGCATCTGCTTATTCTTGCATTCCTTGAGGATGATCTTTCTCATTCTCATATTTATTATTATAACTTCAAGTGCTGGAGAAAGAAAACTGCACGAGGGAAGATAGTGTATCGTTAGCACACACCAGGATAGACAAAATGATCAAACAATTAAAGAAATAGCACAATGTAGACAAAGTCTGGTTAATTTTATTCAGAAGCAGTAGTTTCTAAATAATAGGGTAAGAAATTTTTCAGAAAATTTTGGACAAGTCTATTTTCTACATCTAATTTAGTTAAAACAAGCAATCAAGTATTCAAAGCAGATGAAAAACAATGTGAAGAACATCAATTGGTAGCAGTTTTTGGATATTTTGATAATACCTCCAAACGAGGCTGACTGGAAGCTCTGGTAAATATTTCCCTTTTTTTTTTACATTACCTGACCATCATGAGCAGCAGAAAGATTAAGGCAACGGGTTTAGTATATTTTTTTAAGTGCCCATGCATATGTCAACTTAAGGAATTATGAAGTGTTTAGGAATAAGGTCACTTGCATAGAAAACCTTGGTCTTCCAAGGAGTCAAGCGCAGTCCAAAAGGACACTGATTTGGGCCAATTGGATGGAGATTAATAATATGACCAATTCTGAATAATGCCAACAAGGCTAGTCTCTGAGAATGCTGTGGCATGAGAGAGATTTGAGTGGACAAAAACTGACGGTTAATGAGATCCTATGTGTTTATATTTTGTGGTAGTGTGAATGATTGACTTAATCACAGTTTGAGAAGTGGTTTGATTTCTGAAGGGTTTGCAAGTAGTGTTTCTAGCTTCTCACACTGCTAAGATAAAAATTGACCCAATCGTGTTGATTTTAGAAAAGTAATTTATATTTTCATAATGGGTGCTCTTCAATGACCTTTCAACGGTATCAGAAATACACCTGCATATTCCACCAATCAACTAGTTCAATCATACCCATTCCCAGGGCTCTCGCTCTATTGCTCTCAACTTCACAGACCTCTTGACTGTGGCAGATTCTCTCACAGAACCCATATCATGGGTTCTCTGGACCTTTTCCCTCGGCCATGTGTTTACTACCTTTTCTCAAAGTTGTCAACAATTGAGGTTCATTAGCACCTTTTGAACTTGGGTCCACAGGGCATTTTTACTTTCTTCAGGAAATTGATCCCTATGTGCCTGCTCTAGAAAGAGTATAAAACCTGTGTCACTCTGGCCACACAGAAACTTCAAAGAAGCCCATACCATGCCTTTTAAGGACTTCAACATAATCTCTCAGAACTGAAAGATTAAGGAATTCCTAGCCCATTAAAGTCTTACATTTTATTTCTATCATGGCAGGATTTTTTTTTTAATTTGTTCTATTTTTCTTTTTTATTCCACATTTGAAGAACTGTATGTCTCAGGAACTGTGATTTGACTTTGGTTTGGATTCAGAGAATGAAAGAAAATACACTTCTTTCCTGTTAGTTCCACAAGCTTACATTCCACTGAAAAGCAAGGTAGATGTGGATGAAAAGCCAGTAGAAAACATTAAATTGTATACTACCCTGAGACTCACATGGGACATCCCACCTTGGATTTACCTCTTATGAACAGCAAAGTAAACAGCTGCTGCAGTCATTTAGATCAAGGGTATGAGCATTGTATATTTTTATCATCCTATCAGTGTCGATCATGAAATCAATCACTTGTGAAAATCTGGAAGAAAATGGCAATACTACTTGCCAAAGATCACAGGTTAGTATAAACAGGGACAGAAGGACATACAGGTCAATGTTCAACATCACCTAGTGCCTGCAAAAGCATGTATGGAATAACAGAGAGATGAATAGGAGAGATTAGTATACGATTAATCTATGCGATGTACATGTAAATTAGAGGGGCCTTTTGTATTTCCTTTGCTTCTTAATCAAAAAAAGCTAAGTATGCACAGAGTATACCACTGTCAAATTTTCCCTCCCTGGGGATTACCAATTTACCTACAAAGGACTCTTACTATCAAAAACATAAGTATCCCTCTTACTTGCTTCCATGTGCCAACAACAGAGGAAAGGGAGGACAGGCAAGTTTGAGGTCATGATGGCTGTCATCCTTAGTTGCATTCAAGACTTCTGAAAATTTTGAGCAAAATCCACTCTGAGATGCTGTTGGTAGATCTCTCAAGATCTCTAATCTCAGAAATATATCCCAAACCAGGGCCTAGGAAACTTTGAATGTGGCCAAGAAATATATTAAAAATGCCAATAAATATGATTTAGTGATGCCTGAGCCTAATCCATGCAAAGCTAATTTATCATAATATCAAATGAGATAGTACTGAACCAAAGATCTTAATGTACTAAAAGTTCATTACAAATTTGTCCTAAAACAGAAGAGTGTAGGAAAAATCAATTTATGGCATCAAGATCTTCAGTATTGCCTGTGTAGGGAAATTCTGAAACAGGAAAGTCAGGGATTTGGACAGTAATGGAGATGAGGATCTACAGTGTATATAAGGTATAATATCAAATAGTACAGGGAAAGGAAAGGAAAAAAAGGAAAGCACAGAGAACAGAACCAGACAGATATTTCTACCAAGAGTACAGAAGTAGTAGAGATGAATAATTAAAGTGATCTATGTGGAGATTTCCTAAACATTTCAGAAGGAAAGGGTAGGCTTAAAAACATTCTTCTGAAATTTTGTTGAGTAATTATTCTGTAATATATTTTGTGAGGAGGACTGGTAGTGCAGTGGTTAAGCACTCAGCTGCTAACCAAAAGCTCTGAGGTTCGAACCCACCAGCAACTCCATGGGAGAAAGATGTGGCAGTCAGCTTCTGTAAAGATGTACAGCCTTGGAAACCCTGTAGGGCAGTATTACTCTGTCCTATAGGGTCACTAAGAGTCAGAATCAACTCAATGGCAACGGGTTTAGTATATTTTTTTAAGTGCCCAGGAATATGTCAACTTAAGGAATTATGAAGTGTTTAGGAATAAGGTCACTTGCATAGAAAACCTTGGTCTTCCAAGGAGTCAAGCCCAGTCCAAAAGGACACTGATTTGGGCCAATTGGATAGAGATTAATAATATGACCTGATTCTGTTGGTTACAATCAGCTTTATCTCTCCCACCCTGGGAAAACTCTTCCATTTTCATCACTGACCTCACTTTTTCCATTTAGATCTACTGAAGGTCAACAATGAAAAACCAGACCACATTTACTGAGTTTATCCTATTGGGCCTCACAAATCAGCCTGAACTCCAGGTGGTGGTATTTATCTTTCTGTTTCTCACCTACATGCTAAGTGTCATAGGAAATCTGACCATCATCACCCTCACCTTACTAGACCCCCACCTCCAGACACCCATGTATTTCTTCCTCCGGAATTTCTCCTTCTTAGAAATTTCCTTCACATCTATTTTTATTCCTAGATTTCTGACCAGCATGACAACAGGAAATAAAGTCATCAGCTTTGCTGGCTGCTTGACTCAGTATTTTTTTGCTATATTCCTCGGGGCAACAGAGTTTTACCTTCTGGCCTCTATGTCCTATGACCGCTATGTGGCCATCTGCAAACCCTTACATTACCTGACCATCATGAGCAGCAGAGTCTGTATACAACTAGTATTCTACTCCTGGCTGGGGGGATTCCTAGCCATCTTACCCCCAATCATCCTGATGAGCCAGGTGGATTTCTGTGTCTCCAATGTTCTGAATCACTATTATTGTGACTATGGACCCCTCAGGGAGCTTGCTTGCTCAGACACAAGTTTCTTAGAATTGATGGTCATCCTCTTGGCAGTTGTGACCCTGGTGGTGACTCTGGTGCTGGTGACACTTTCTTATACATACATTATCAGGACCATTCTGAGGATCCCTTCTGCCCAGCAAAGAACAAAGGCCTTTTCCACTTGCTCCTCCCACATGATTGTCATCTCCCTCTCTTATGGCAGCTGCATGTTTATGTACATTAATCCCACCGCAAAAGAAGTAGGTGCTTTCAACAAAGGAATAGCTGTGCTCATTACTTCAGTTACCCCTCTGTTGAACCCCTTCATTTACACTCTAAGAAATCAGCAAGTGAAGCAAGCCTTCAAGGATACTGTCAAAAAAATTGTAAAGTTTTAATTAAAAAACTGAATACATTTCAATTAAAAAATGTTTTATTTACTAAATATGTATTGAGTTTCTGCTATACTTCAAATGCTGAGCTGATCCTTGAGGATAAAAATATGAAATGCATGTGTCTAATTTCAAAGAACCTGAAGTCTAGTGTGAACGAAAAGTGTATGAACTGTAGATTTGTGTGATACATTTACAAAAAAATAAAATAACATGATAAATATTATTAAAGAGAGGTAAATAAGATCCATAAAAAGAACAGTTGGAAAGAATTTACTCTGTTAATAAAACCAGGAAATGGTTCACTAAAGACTTGAAATTTAAGGGCCAAAACATATCTTGATTTGGGATAGGAGGAGAATAAGAATTTAGAGTGAAAAAGAGAGGCCAGATCTGAAGGTATTTTATCACAAACTACAGTTAGTTGGACACTGGTGAGCCAAGGCATGTTTTAAGAAAGGCAGTAACAGTATCAGCATTGTTTTGAGAGGAACATATCATTGGCATTGTTCTTCAACATGGAGTCTGGAGGCTGTGCTTCCACCTAAGTGTCAAAAGATTTGATTCTCCTCTCCTTTTTCATTTACCTTTCAACTACTAGCCATTACAACATCCATTCTTTCATAAGAGGAAAAAAAGGGAAAAGATGTACATTCAGTCCACTTTTCTCCATACTAGGAGGTAATGCTGAAATTATTTTATCAACTTACATGTCCATTTTCTAGAGGATAAGTTTAGAAGAAGGAGCCCTGGTGGCACAATAGTTAATCACTCACCTGCTAACCAAGAGGTTGGTGGTTCGAACCCACCAGCCACTCTACAGGAGGAAGATGTGGCAGTCTGCTTCCTTGAAAACCCTATGGGGCAGTCCTACAGGGTTTTTATGAGTCAGAATCGACTCAACAGCACTCGACAACAACAAGGTTAGAAGAGGTTTCTAGAGGCAAAGTTAGAAACCTTCTCCTAGACAGAATCTATTGTTTCTTTCCCTAGCTGACATCTTTTTAAGTTAATGTCACGAGATCTCCCCTTCTCCTTTTCTTTGGTAGTTTCTGAAGATTTTTTTTCCTATTGTAGTTTTATTTTTATATCTTTGTTTCTTTTTTTAGTTATCAGGAAAGATAAATTCTGTTAACTAGCTCCATTTTTTTTAACTTTTCCCAAAACCTTTGCTTTAATTTTTAGCATAAACTATAGATACCTGTTTCATAAAGAGAAAAAGAATATAAAGTATCAATAAAGTCTGATATCTAGAATTTCCTAAATTATGAGGCTTGGCAACCAACTGGGAATAGACTACTCTATCAAGATCAATTTGAATTTGAATAGGCAGTGATAAGGCCTCAACTTCAATGGAACTAAGGACATTTCGGAAATCTGAGTACTTACACACAGTTTAGTAATATTCTAACGCATTTTAGGTGTTGGTTACAGTTTGAGGTATAGTTTGGAGAATATCATCTGGTACATTCACATGCTTCATATGTGGTAATTTGTTGAGCTGAATGGCACTTCTCAGGCATTTAAGGAGCAAGCTGGGTTGTCTGATCATGAGAGCTAATTTCTAGAACCAAGAGAAATATCGGAGGACATATAATATTTAGAATAAGGGGCCTTTTATGTAAAGTCACTGCCGTTTTGAATATCTGGAGTTTCTTTGATGACTAAACTAGAGGTTAGTGATGCCTTTCAATTCATTCCAAGTTCACTGAGCTACCTTTAAAGTGATAGGGAACAGCCCCATAAAACAAAATGGGACTAATGAGGCACAGCAGTCCAGGGACAAGGACTAGAAGGCAGGAG